TAAAAATGTCGGGAAGGCAATTTTACCTATACTCCTCTTCTTATATCAACACCCAACTAACCCTAATCCTAACCTTATAAACGATTAAAACGTTAAAATCACGTGGATACATGGCTTTGCCCATCCACCAAAATAAGTATCGTAAATTAAAGTTAGTTGTCGTTTATTATTAACCACCTTTAAAATTTTATGAGAAGAACCTTCAAATGCTGGGGAATTTGCGAACTTTTGCCCCGAAATTAAACCGACAACTCCTTTTTGTTAAATAAGCCTGGAAAGCAAAATTTCCCTCTTATCTAGGGTCCCCAACCTCGATCTTGGGCCTGAAACCCTTTCAGAGGTCACAATCCCAGACTTGGGTTTCGAATCCCTTGCACAGCCTATTACTTGGTGATAAGGTCTTGACAAAAAGAAAAATATGAAAAAGATGAAATTTCTAGAAATCCTAGCGTACTACATATCATTGTTAAAACTATTTACAACAATGGTAGTAATCTAATTGTATAACGGCTACTAGATCTAACCAAAATTTTTATTCTATTACAATTATAAAATATTATAGTTCTGGTTAGAAATTCATTCTTTTTTTTCGATAGATTCAAATAATTTATTTATCGAATCCATTAATACTTCATTTTGATTCTTTAGTGCTTCATTTATATGGTTCTTCATTTCATCCATTTGAGTTTTTAGTGTTACTTGAGCTTTTAATATTTCACCTATTTGAGAGTCGTCAAATTGAGTAATTTCCAATATTGCAGATGATGAATGTGGTGGATAATCTTCATTTTCAGTGCTTTTTATTTTCTTAACGTATTTTTTAAGTTCATTAATTGAAACTTCATAAAATCTGTAAGTTTAATTATTATTATTATTATGTTTAGTAAAAACAAGATATAATATTTACGATATGAATAAGAAAAAATAAAGTAATTACAAGATTTCTGGAAACCAATTTTTTTTTCTTCTTTGATGTGGTAACATCCAAAAAAGTTCAATTTCAGTCAATATCTAATAATAAAAAATTAATAAATTACATATAAATAATAATTATAATTAAATAACTAAAAATTTTACCTCTCCTTTCAGTTTTAAAAAGGATTCTTCATTATTTGTTTGTTCAATAGCCATTGAAAGTAACCCAATAAATAAGTTTAATAAATAAATTGTTGTGAAAAATGAAAATAAAACTAATAAAATCGACAAAGTCCAATTATTTGTTAATTCCCATGAAGAAACTACACTTGTATCGCCTAAAACAAAAACGTATATATATTAATTTTTTTAATCTACATATACACAATTTACAGTATCATTATATATGTTCAATACCTGTCAGCATAAAATATACAGCTAAAATAGAAGTAGTAAATACTGAAAACATATTCGTATTGTCATCTGGAGTTTCAATAAGTGACCCTTCAACAGCACCGTTAGAAGAAATAGATTTATAGGTCGGAACTAAATTCCAGGGATTGTTAGCATCATCAGTATAACTTGGTTGATTATAAGAAAATTTAGTAGTAGGTCTTAATAAAAGATGTAAAGAATGGGCAAAAGCTAAAATTATAAAACCTAAAACAATAAAAAAGGAAAATATTTGCCGTGCTACCCCAATCATAATCGCAAAATACGTTCCAAAATATTCCAAGACACGAAAAAATAATAAAAATTTAATTTCAAGTAAAAAGACAGCAATAGAAATAATCCAGATTGATGGAGTTTCATCACATAGCCATACTAATGAAGTTATTGTTGGTGCTAATATCGCAGCAGGATCTATAAAATTAAAATTTTAAAAACTAAGTTATTATATTAAATTGCTGTAATTACTAATAAAATTGAATAGATTATCGCTATTTTGATTTGATCAATTTATAATTTTTTTATGAGTTCGCAAATTCCATGATTACAATATAGGTAATCATTTAAATTCGATATTTGCAGAATTCATTTAATAACACCTTTTTAACATCTGTTTGGTACATTCCAGTTCTTGCAACACAATAATGATTCATTTAATTGACTTAATTTCTGGCTCCGAGACTTACAAATTTATATTGGCAAAAGAAACTTAAAAGACAAATATGCCAACAATAAAAAATATTAAAGTACTTATGAAATGAGTTCCTCAAAATATAACGAATTTAGGAGATTATCTATATTGTAATCATGGGACTCACAGGACTCAAAAAATTATAAAGTGATCAAATCCAAATAAATCGAAAATAGCAATAAATAGGATATATAAATATATATATACCAAACCAATTCCAAGGACTAGAAATATAATACATTGGTTTGTGAATAAATTGGCGAACTTCAAAAATAAGATGAATAAATCCAAAAAGAATAGTTGCCATCAAAAGCATCATCTGATTATTCCAAGAAATATCATTCGATGGAATTGTTGAAACTATTAAAAAACAACACATAAAAACAGAATATATTGCCCACATTATAAAATAATATCGATTTCCATAAGTATTCCATTTGAAATTGATAAGGGCTTTAATGTTCCAGTATCTATAATACTCAGGTGCATCCAGTAAGGTAAAAGAATTATCGGGTAAATAAAATAGCTCATGGTAAGAATAATATTTGGGATAAGTTGCAAAATTCAATAAAGGAATTATCAGCTTAACAGTTTTTTGGGGATAAGTAGCAAAATAAGGAAACTCAAAAATCTTATAAGAATTTTTTAAAAGATTCCATTTTTCAGAGATCCAAAATAATAATTTGTCAAATAGTAAAGTACTAGGTAAATCGTCATATGTATCACAATGTTGATGAAATAATGAAGTAGTATTTATAGCTAAACCATAGTTATCAGGAATCAATAGATTAATTTTAGATAAAAATCTTTCTGTAACTCTTAAATTTTTGTTATATTTTTCTAATTTTACTAATGTAAAAGTGATCTGATTTATTAACCCAACAAAGTTATAAATATCACCATTTTTAAGCATTGATAAACTATACGTAAAACAGTTATCAAGCAATTTCAAGATCTTTTCGTCCTTTTCGTATACATTCTTTCGAATCAATTCGTAGATCATATCTTTTCCATATAAAATTAACATTGTTTCATCATTTATCCCATTTTCAAAGATATGAGTTATCCAATAACCTGTTATAGCCGCCGGTAAATTACACCAAATCCAACCTTGATAAGTTGGTGGTGGTAAAATTTCCAAGTCATTCAATTTATCATTAAATGAAGTAAGAAGTCTAATTATTGATACAGTCTCTAGTCTCTCTCCATCAGACCAGTTGTAAATTAAGCTAATCGATTTTTTTTCAGAATCTAATCCCCAAACTTGTATACTAGAAATATCTTTGGTAGAGAAAGCCAATAATATATCTCCATATTCGAACACTTTATATTCTAAAATATAGCCATCAGTATTGTCGAACAAGAATAGTATTTCAGAAATTTCCTTATCAGACTCAACTCGAACTTTTAAAAATACTTCACACGTATCGGCCTTATAAGCACGAGTTTCAATAATCCAGGTGTATGATGCACAAGAATATTCCTTAGATTCATTAGGGTAATTCTGAATTAAAACTTGATTTAAGTTACATTTTTCTAAAGTGGTCATTATAAATTGTTCGATTTCTTTTACATTAAAAAATGTATTACCCATGTAGGGCTCTATAATTTGTAAATAATTTTTCCAATTTTTATTTTGGGATAGCCTTTGAATTGACAAATTATTATTATCAATTTTTATAATGTAATCAGAGATAATATTAATAGTGCCAATCGAACTATAATTATCATATGTGGGGGAGTAAATATCGCGTAAAACATGACTGTCTGGAGACTTGTCAAGCTTATGAGTGCGAGGATTCAATATATAGGAGTTATAACTCTTTGTATCTCTTTGTGAGCAAAAAAAAAAAAATAAACGTTCTTCTTCTTTTGACCCGATAAAATTAAGATTATGAACTTCAGATCCACTAAATATTCCTAAAATCATTAAATAAAATTAATAACCTAACTATTTATAAACAATTCTGCTATAAATACAGTAAAATATTTACTGTCTGCAATCACTAGACCAGATTTTGTTGAATAAACATAAACGGATAGAGACCATTCCTTATTTTCTCTCTTATTTAAACCAGATATTGTTAACAATGTGTAATCACTATTAAACGCCAATTTAAAATAATGACTGAAAGAATGCTGGTATAAATCCCAATTAAATATATATTGCATTTCAAATTTCCGAGTTGTTAAGTTCCATTGTTTGATTATGAAGGGTATATTAACAAGTAACAATAACTTTCCATTTTTGAAAATAAATGCCCGAATATATTTTTTGAGTTCAATGCTATCCTTGCATTTCCATTGTTTGTTATTAGGCTTTGAAAAGATATAGGCCCGATAAATTGGTTCTTTTCTGGTAATTGCCAGTTCTCCATTTTCAAGAAAGGTAATATCATCGTGTATATCATATGTCCATTCTTTTAAACCTTGCGCATTCAATATTTGTTTTGTTTTAGTTTTAAAGTCAATAATTTCTATGAAAATGAATTTATTAACGTTAATACTGTATAAACATAGTGAATAATATAATAATTTAACTAACCAATATTCAATATATACAGTCTATCATTAAGAAAACGTAGTGCGACTTGTTTACAATCTGAGACTCCAAGTAACGTCACATTGAGTTCGTCAATGTTAATGTTTAATATATCTTTAAAATGATCGGTATTTATTGAAGAATCAGGTTTGATAATAAGTTCTTCTGAAACGGTCCATCCAACAATTGATTTATCATCTTTGCTCCAAGTCGCAATGTATTGCATATTTGGTGAAAAAACATATTTACTTATTTTTTTTCCTCTGTGCGGAACATCGATTAAAATCACTGCTTGGTCTTGATTTTCAATTAGCTGAACTTCGGAACTTAAACTCATTTTAAACAGGAATAATAAATTGAACGAACAATAGTTTTTTAAGAATGTACAAAAAAAATTTAATGTGGTTATTCCTTATCTATATATCTTTGCCCAAATCATTGTACAACCTGGTCGAACATAAATTTTTTCGTGATATTACAGAATTGACGCCATTATGTGGCTTGTTGGCCGAATTATAGTAAACAATCGTGAAAACTCTAAACATCCGAAAAACTGTGTTCGGAAATAGAATGTAATGTTTAGCGGCTATAACTCCTTATGGAATAATAGAACGAAACTTTCGTTTATCATCCATATTATAGAATAACGTACTGTTGATTAAAACCTTTTTCTTTAGATAAAATTGAGTATTTCAATAAGCTTGGGCTATAAGTAAAGAAAACTAAGTAGTCAAAGCCCCCCTTACCCCTTAAAATAGTGAAAGTTATAAAAACATTATAATTTTGTTTTTGTAAAGAACAAGAACCTTCAGGTTAAATAACTCATTTGCTAAATAAAGACTATAAAATCTCTAAAGGTCATAAATTAGATACTGCTACTAAATAATCGTATCACGCTTCCGCGAATTGTCATCATAACAGCATATCTTTGCGGTTAAGGTTAAGCGCATATTACTATAATCTACTGTTGTTAGGCGAAACTATTTTTAGCAAATAGCGAAAGCGAAACTAAACCCGGTGAAAGACGAAACTGGCGAAACGGCGAAACTTTGGCGAAACGGCAAAACTCTGGCAAAACTCTGGCGAAACCTTGGAGAAGTCAAAGATCAAATCCTCTAAAAACTTTGAAAAGAATGAGCCATGATAATGAATCAAAATATTTTGCGCGTGGCTAATAAGCATAGTATGTGGCTTATACAAAAAAAATGTACAAAAACAATAAGCAAAGTGATAGCTTTTTGTTTGTATTCGAATAATATTAAAAGAAAATTAGATTTCAGGCTTTTGAACTTGTAATTAGAGATTGGAATCGATGAGTTTCGAGCATTGATTGGTCACAAACTCTAGATTTTCGAGCATCGGTAAAAAATTTTGACCGATGTTTGAATGTTCATTGAGTTTTTAAAAAATACATAATAAAATTTAGTATAACATGAAATTTATCAATTGTAGAGATTGGAATCGATGAATTTCGAGCATTGATTGGTACAATCGAATTTTCATTGAATTTTAAAAAATACATAAAAGTATTTAGTATAACATGAAATTTATCAATTGTACCATTATCTCTACATTACATAATTACAATTTACATGACTTATATAATTTGTGACATTACAACAACTTGTACTATTATCGCTACGTACAATTTACATGACTTATGATTTGCGCATTATAAAAGCAACATGTACTATTACCGCTACATTATTTAATATACATTTACATAACTTATAATTTGCGTTTATATTATAAAATTAACCATACATTAATCCTAGACATTAGGAATAGTAAAATCAATTGTTTTCATATTACGCTTTAGAAATACCATTCTGCCAAATAACTTTGGCCTTAATAACGTTCTTTTCGCACTCATAACATTTCCTGCATCTGAAAACAAGCGCTTACTTGGTGTGCTTGTTGCAGGAATTGCAAGAAATTTTCTAACCATTTCACTTAAAATCGGAAATTGCCATTTTTTTAAAGACCACCACACCATGGGATCTCCCTCGAAGTCAAGCTCGGGAAGAGCAAGATAATTTGTAACTTCGTTATTATCTTGGTTTTGTGAGATTGATGAAAAAAACCAGATTAAATGAACCCTTTATTGTAAACCTACTTTTCATTTCGATTGGTTACAAAAACTAATTTGGATGTCGATGAAGTAACTTGTTTAGATAAATAGTGCCGCTCCTTAAATTCTGCATATATAGCACGTAAAGTTTGATTTCACTCATCAGTCGATAAAACATGTAATCTATTGCATTTTGGGCAATTGAGTTTTTTTTAACAATGTCAGTTTGAAAAATAAAATTTATGAAATTGTTATTTATTAATCAAACAAAAACTTATCACTATCAAAACTTATAGTTTGACTGATGCTCGATGATTGA